TCTGGGGCTCTCTCGGTCTGTGTATGGTCGTTCTTCGATTTCGGATAGTCTCGTTCTGGCTTACCTGCCAAACATCAAATAATGTGGTGTTTTGTTTGTTGAAGATTGTGGCGTTGTCCTACTCCTGTACGACATCAGAAATCTGGAAATGAGAGTTTCCAGAGGTAGTTAGTTGTCTGTTTCTCGGGTCTTACAGTGCTGTGTTAACCTTTTTGAATGTTCTCACTGCATCCTCTGCCGCTCCGCTGCTTCTAGGGTTGTATGTTGGAGAAGCGAGATGCTTAATTCCGTTTTTGGCGAATTTTTTTTTAGACTGGCTGAAATGAACATACCTACTGCCATTATCACTTACCACGGTTACCGGCAATCCGAACCTGTGGCCCAATTCTTAAAAATATCGCATACAAAATTTGATTCGAATTTGACTGATAGCTATGTAAATTAAATGGGAAGCGTTAGAAATCATTTCAAATTTCGTATGCGATATTTTTCAAGAATCGGGCCCCTGGCGAAGGTCTTGCGCAGTTTCGACTCGGTCTCAAAAGCTGATGTGTTCCTCATTAGGAAAACTTCTACCCATTTGTTGTATGCATCTATTAGAATGAGAAAATCCTTGCCTTTTAGCGACAGAAAATTCATGATAATTGTTTCGAATGTTTTTGATGCTAATGGCCATGGTTTTAAGCCTGATTTGGGTGGATTATCCTTGTTAAAAATGCATGCTTTGCACGATCTAGCGAAATTTTCGATGTTTGAATCAATGCTGGGCCAGTACACTATGATCTTGCCAGGGCCTTTATCCTTGACATTCCCCAGTGAGATGTGTGAATCTGACAAAATTTTCTTTCTCAGTGCTCCTGGCACAATTACTCGATGATAGAGTACCTACGAGAATTTCGTCCTCCACCAAAATTTCATCACGCCTGTTGTAGTATGGCTTTACATTTTCGCTGATTTCACCTTTCCAACCGTCTTTGATGCAGGCTTTCACGCTTTCCAGGTTAGCGTCTAGGAGAGTTCCTTCTTCAATTTCCCTATTGTTTGGCCATTCATCTTGGCACTCCGTGAAGTTCACGAACAACACATCCGATTTTCCTTCTCCAACTGCTTCCTGTGGCGGTTCTCTGCTAAAGTAATCTATCCCTAATAGGGGTCCTCCATTGAGTACAACGTACAACTTCAAGTTCCGCCTCTGTCCTCGGAGTTCTGCTATGACATTTAAATGCCCCTCAAGTCTGAAGGTTAATCCGTTATAGCCTCTCAGAAGTACTTGTTTACCTATATTGAAAAAAAAATCAGTAGAAGTATCAAAGCCACAAGCCGATATGGCTGAGCCACTATCGATTAAAAATGAAAATTTCCTGTTATTTATCTTTAAATCGACTAAAGAATAAAGATGTCAAACACTGACCCTCCTGATAGTTTTGATGTGGGCGAGAGAGTACCCGACACTTCCTCAGAACATTTCGAAGAAGAGAGTCACAACCAGCATGGTATCGTACCAATGGCTCCCACAATACCACCTGCCTACTACCTACTCTCATGCAGCAAAAAGCTCAAATTAATGAAACTGTACAGTGTGTCCCATTTTGGTTGTCCATAAGGGATAACTGGGTTGCTATTGGAGTTAGAAGGATGCGGTTTCCGCGAACGTTGGCTACTTTTTTCTCAAACGAAAGATGGCGCCAACAGAATTGTCATCGCTCTTTTTGTTTTTCAGATCCAAGGTGTTTCCGAAAAAGATGCATTTTGGGACACCCCTTGTATCTCGGTTCCCTCATAGGTGATCGAAAAGGTGACAACGGTTTCTTATAAATATTTTTACGTAATTTCCAGTGGCGTAGTAAATTTTTCTCTAGAAGTGATTTTTCAAATTATGAACCAAACATACGTTTTTTCAAATGAGACACTCTATATATTATAAACTCATTGGATAGCACTGCTTTTTCTGATTTCAATGATATAAAATTCGATAGGTTTATCTCTAACAGTTTTCGAGCAAAAAATGTTTTTCTGTTTTTTTCATAAGAAACAATGTGTTAGAAAGAGACCTTTCTCATTTTCCTTACGAATGCAAAGTCCTTTTCTGACACATTGTTTCTTATGTAAAAAACAGACATGATCAGTGGCGCACTCAGAAAATATATTTGGGACCCTACATGGATTGTGGCTTGTAACTGAAAATCTAAAAAAAAAAAAATTAGGTGTCAGGGTGCCTCGCCTGGATGTTGCTACATTTTTTATACGTATAAATACAGTTTTAGAGGGGTGGCCTGGGGGAGACCCTGATTCGATGGCCCCCGCTGAGTGCGCCACCGGACATAGAAATAAACCTATCAAACTTTATATCATTGAACTCAGAAAGAGCAAAGCTATCCAATGAGCTACCAATATATAGGGTGTCAAATTTGAAAAAACGTATCTTTGGTTCATAACATAAAAACTATCACTTCTAGAGAAAAACTGCAGACTACGCCACCGGAAGCTACGTAAAAATATCTATACTAAACCGTTGACACCTTCTCGATTACTTATTAGGGGACCGAGATACAAGGGGTGTCCCAAAATGCAACTTTTTCAAAAAATTGGAAAAATCAATCTAGAGATATTGGCTCAAAATACCAACTATAGCTGAGTATAGTTTCTCGTTACCAGGGACCTCAGTACCTGCCGGCAGATGGGCTAACCAAAAACTCTTCAGTATTGAATATAGGTAGTGTTGATTGAATGTTGTGTGTGGAATTAAAATTTTAGCACAAGCACAGGGGCGGTACCTAATTTTAACTTTTATCATTGACTTGCTCTTTCCCCTCGTTAGTTCCAGGTCGAGAATGGTACGATTTACATTGATAATAAAGTATACGTTTCACACATTTTTCGTTTATTTTAGATAGATAGATTTGTTGTTTCAAAGAGAGATAAAAATTCACACCGTTCAATCTTGCTGAACGAACCCGGGAACGAACCTACAGTAGACAATGGGTGGTATTAATAAACCTGAGTCTGAGCACGGAGTATGGGGGCAGTTTTTGAGCTTTTACGGGGGTGATTTGGATTCAGATAAAAAACATGTCCCAGCCTGCAAAAAATTATGAATTAGGAATTTTATGGTGCAAAATAGGGTATCTCTGTTTTAGTTTTCCAAACACCTTTCAATTATGACCCTTTCTCTGGTGTTGAATGCTTGTTGTTTTGGATTTCCAGGTGCTCTGAAAGGTGTCATTAGTCAGGGAGCGATGCCAAATCCTGAATCTCCTAGGAGAATAGCACGAACTTGATTTCTACTGGTTTGATTCGAGAATTGGTCCAAATACGGGCATCATGAACGGAGTCCGGCCAAGAGAAATCCACGCTTGTAAACATTTCTGAGCTGTTGCAAGTTGCGAAAACTTTGGGGATATGAGTGCAATCTATTGCTCCTATTGCACAAGGGAATTGTATTTCTCTCTCAAATTCTTCGTCAGTAGAAAGGAAATTAATTCAGAAATCAGTTTTCTGTATTATTCTTGGAATAACTGAGACAATAATATTTGAGACAGTTGGTTGGCGAACTCCTATATCTGTGGCAACGCCAGTCTGAAAACCAGGATCTGCCACATACCTTAGAAAAAATTTAAAACGTTGCGTGAGAGCTCCTCCTCTCCTTTCCTCTGAATTACCCAGAAAGTGTTCACACATCCATTCAACATTTTCCTCGATATTTTCCTTCTCAAATCGATGTAACACTTTCCGGTCTAGATGGTCCACGTCTCTACGAACTGAATATACTTTAAGATTGCGTAAATTATTTATAAATTCGGCCATGGTGTCATTCTTTTTCTAAGTTGAGTTTGCTACTGACTAGACTTAAGTGAAATGGACCAGATACTCCAGACTTGAAACAAATACTTTTTTAAAATTAATATCTACTAGAGCAAATGCTCATAAACTAGGGTCAACTGAGTTTGAGCAAAAGTTCAACTTTATTTATTAATACCAGTTGCAGCATATGCTTCGAATACTAGGAGTCTGAGCCTGAGCTTATACTTCATCTTATTAATAAATACCTCTATATATGTCTGTTCCAACACGTCAATAACCGTCACATTCAAGGTTTGGAAGCCACCATACGAATTTTGGATTCTACGCACAAATAGGCTTTGCGTAGAATCGAGACGGTATATTGTAAGGTATTCCGCTGTGTTGGAACAAAGCTATTATCTTCTAAACAAATTGATTATTCTGCAAAAAGAAGCAATTAATTTGCATAATTGTTTCTTTATTATCTATCAGAAGATTTTTTGCTTGAGAAAATTCTGTTTTCGATAAAGTGAAAAAAGCAGTGGAAATTGAATCTTAAAAACTCATACCTATCTTTGATTTCTGAAGACCCTATATTAATAGTGCAGATATTGTTGAACAAACCTGAAATAAAATGGATGTATCAAAATACAAATCGATAATGTAGCAATACAGGTGTAATGTTTGATCAATAATATACCAGAAATCCGTCTTTAGTTTAGTGACAAATAATCTGTGGTGACAAATAAAGCGTCATTATATTGTCATCATGCTCCAAAGGTCTGCGACTGAAAAAATATCTGCATCAAAACCTCCTCGAGTTGACAAAGATAAACCGCAAACCAAACCGTTAAAAAAAGATGACATTGAAATAAGTGTAAGATCGGCGTCCACTAGTCCAAAAAGTAGGAAAAGGAAAAAAAGGAAAAGGCGAGACCCTTTCGATATACCGGGAATCCAGAAAATCACTTTGACGGAATTGGCACAAAAACTTATAGGGTGAGAATGTGTTGAAAGATTAATATTAAGAATTTTGAGCAAAACATCAAACAAAGGCAAAAAATCCTATTTAATTTAATATCACATGTCTTTATTCTAGTTGCCTAGTTGGTATCGACGTAACATCGCAACTTCCATGGAAGTACGTCAAAAAAGAAATAATAGTAGACAATATCGACCTAGAAGACAATTCGGAATTTCTCCCAGTCAAAAAGGAAATTTTCGAATACCCTAGAGAAGAAGTCTTGATGGGTAAAGTGGAATTTCACTGAATTTTTTTAATCAAAAAATATGTAGGTACAACATATCGAGAGTGCCTGAGAAATTCCTCAACGTGAAATATCAGGATTGATTTTATACTTAACTTGATAGAAAACAAAAAAATTATAATTATGAACTTGCTAAACAAAAATAGTGCAGTGAGAAAAAAATTAGGATTTGATAATAAAAAGCATATCCCTAAAGTGAAAGCTTTTGCTAAAAACAAATTCCTATTTTTGTATTGATAATGAAAAGCTTTTACGAAAAGGATTTGTTTATGTTAATAAGTGGATGTTTTAAAATATATTCAGTACCTACCTATTTTCCAAACACTACACTACACTTAGGTTCATGTGGTTTGGTAAGCGAGATCTCGAGGGCGTTTATTAAAGTTGGAGTTACCACCAGGTGGTTCAGGATTTGTAAGATTGATTGAAATTTTTTCATCGAAAATAGACTAGCTTTAGGACTTAAGGGCTCAATGTCCAATGATCTCAAACCGTTCAAACATTCGTACTACCTTACTCAAAAAAATACATTGAATTTTCCAGGCTATATTGCTGATGAGACTGTAGATAGAGAAGACGAAGATTTTTACATTTGCCTCACTGCAGAAGCCACGGACACTGCTGCAAAAATGATAGAGCAACTCCAGAAAGAGCAAGACGAACGACTTCATTATCAACTCTTCAAGGACATACATCCATGGTAGTTACCTCATTAGCAGCCAGTTTTGTAATTCATAATTATAGTTGGCTGAATCACATATTAGTGAACCATTCAAAACAAAGAAAACTTTAATTGGTGTGAAATAATTGTTTTTGTTTCTTACATGGCATCGTTGGGATCTGAGCCTGAAATTGACGAAGCAATATTGAAAAACAACCGAGCCCTGATTGAAGTTGAAGTGGAAACTCGCTACCCAATTTTTCCAGGAAAAGTACAATTTCGATACGTAAAAGTCGAACAAAAGCGTGACGGCTACATGGAACTCAGAAGCGAAGAAGCCGTTCCTTGTGTTTACAGAAGACGGATTCATACTGCTATTCAAGCTGCTCCACCATTAATCACTACTGAAATTCAAACCGATTGTAAGTGAAACAGTGAATTTTCAAGCCTTTTAAAGTTAATGAAAAATATTTATTCTGCTTCATTGGAATAGGTACTTACCCATCAAATGCGGCCTGTCAATACCTCTACGATCCAGGTTCAGTTGAAGAAATTTTATTGCAGTGCGAACCCGAAATTATTAATTATGCCAACAGAAATTTAGATGATTTGTCCAATGTTCTTATGGTAAGATCTTGGCACACCCAGTCTCTGGCGGCATTGTCTTTTCTTCTGTTCTCTCGCTCCTTCCTGCTGTCCCTCTTTTCGGTTTCGTATCTGCGTCGATGTTCTTCAAAATTTGTGGTCCGTATTTTTCTAGGCTTTTTATGTGTCGTCTGTAGGTGGTCCATAGGCCTTTTCGGAAACGCTGATCCGATTGATCGGATCACCAGCTTTGTCTTTTTTGAATCGTGTTTATTAAAGAAGGATAAAACACGAACAACTGATGATCGGGTTAATCGGATCAGCGTTTCCGAAAAGGCCTCATGAGAGCTGATGTCGTCATTATTGAAGACTGTGTCTAGAAGTCGTCCGAACGCTGCGCTAGCACACTTCAAGCGATGTTGGATTTCAGCGTCAAGGGTTTAATTTGCTGACAGATGACTCCCAAGGTATGGATAGTGTTTTACGTTCTGCAAGGACATTTATAGCTATATTTGGGGCTTGCGGATTAGTGCCCAGTGCGGGTTGGTACAGAATCTGCGTCTTATTAAAGTTGACTTCTCGGCCGACTTTCCCGTATGCCTGGTTAAATGCATTCATAATTACCTGAAGATCTTCCTCTGTATTGGCCATCACGACGTTATTATCCACATAATGAAGTTCAATTATCGATTTCGTCGATACTTCCTTCTTAGCTCGTAATCTGTTCAGGTTGAATAAGCCACCATCAAGTCTGTACAGGATTTCCACTCTTGACGGCAGGTGACCCTCGACAAGGTGAAGTGTGGATATATAAATAGAGAAAATAGAGTGGAAGCAATAACACAGCCTTGTTTAACGCCTATAGTTATTTGAAAACATCCTCTTTGTCCATCGTTGCTCAGGGCGGTTGCATTCATATTCATGCAGCAGCTGGAGTATCTGGATGTACTTCTGCTAGCACCCAACGTTTGCCAATATATATCTTCCAAAGAGCTTCTCTGTTGAACGAATCAAATGCTTTCACTAAATCTATAAAGGCCATTGTATAGAGGGCGATTTTGTTCTCTGGATTCCTCTTGCATTTTTCTTGCACTGAAAATCATGTCAGGTGTACCTCGGTTGGGTCTTAAGCCACACTGAAAGGTTCTCTTCAGCAGTTGGGATTAGACGACTTGATAATGATAATATCCTGGCAAGTATCTTTCCCGCAACAGAGAGTAAATATATCGCTCTGTAATTTTCACGTTGAGCCTTGTTCGGCAGGTATGGTCTCAGTAATCCATATTTTACTTATTTTATTAGAATGTGGGTTTCGGAACTTAGTGTGGGGCCTCCTTGTTTAAAGAATTCAGCAGGAATGCTGTTAGTACCAGCTGACTTATTGTTCTTTAGTTGTCTGATTGCCTTTTCTACCGCCTCTAATCTGGAAACCCCGCTCAGTTCTTGTTGTATTGGTTTCTGTGGAATTTTGTTGAAGATGTCATTGTGAGACCCCAGTTCAGAAACTTATATGATGTTGAATTGGCGAGCGGCGGCTTTTGTTTCTGAGTGGAGACACAGATTGATATGGGTCCTATTTGCGGGTGTGAGAGTAAAACACAACTGTGGACTATTATGTTAATATGATTTTATTTAAAATAAATTTATCGGGCGTCGGCCAGAAAGGCTTGAAATATAATAACCACAATTTTTACTCTGACTTATTTAAAATTTCACTCTTTTCTCACAAATACCTTAATTCCATCATAAAAATTCCAATAGGTAAGTTTCGTATCAAAAGTTTGCCTTATCAAAAATAATGTTAAATTAGAAAGTTCAACATTTTTTTCAATTATCAATCACGAAAATCCCAATTCAAAATGTTATAAATAATTATGAATAACGAAATATGTTGCAATAAAAAAAAAGTTCTTTTACAAAATTTAGCTTCAAATTTTCTTATTTTACCAACTATTAATCATGGAATATCATCTTAATAGTTATTTTTGTATCTAGTGCTCGACTATTTTTTTAACTCGGCTGCGCCTCGTTAAAAAAATCAGATCTCGATCACCGAAATATTTCGCGCCCGAGTTGCAAACAATATTTTTTCTACTACTCCATTTAAATATCGATCATTCGAAGCCAAAATTGCATTTTCGATCAAAGGTAGGTGAATTTTAATTATTTTTGGTTTCCTGACAGTTATGTGTCACCATGACACCAGTGTGCGAATTAGCTATTTCGCGCACTAGTGTGCGAAATAGCTAGTTCGCGCACGGCGTCATGAGAACGTTAAAAAATCAATACCAGGGAAAAAAGTGTCACTTCGCAAACTGTCATGAGTGTGCAAATATCATCATTTTTTGACAGTTGTAGAAAAAAATGTTTTAATTCCTTTTGGGATAATTATTTAACTTTCGTAAATTTATCAATTCATTAACTTTTTGTCCTATTTTATAAAGAATACAAATTTCCTTTCTTTACAGTGTAAATGTACTTACAAGATGTATTTATTACTTTAAAATTCTACTGGCACACACATAATTATTGAAACGTTAATTTTACGACTTGACTTTATGAACCCGAAATTTTCGCACTGCCTCCTTGAAACTTTTAGTACTATCTTCGACTTTGGACTCTGCTTGTTGCGTCTGACACTTGACTGACCGTTCTGGACTGACTGTTCTCGACTGACACTTTTGACCGTTCTTGACTGAAACTTCTTCTGAATCGACACTGCTATTTTTCTCGCAATTCAGGCTTTTTGTATAAAAATATTCTCCTTCCTTCCTTTGTTCTTTCGGCGGCCTAATTTCTACCCCAAATTGCACGAGTGCTTTAACATCAAGATTTCGTCATTTCGGCCCTCTTTTTAGTGGAATGCGGTACCGTTTCTTTGTCGGCATACAGCACGCGCCTGATTTATGGTGTTTTCCCGGAATTTTGGATTCAGTGACAGATGGCGTCATGTTAGAAAAGTGCCACATTTCAGGGACACATTTCAATTGAATCATCTATTTTTGTGTGACCCCACTTATCGATCTTTGAGAAGGAATTTCAGTTTCTATTGTTTCTTTATTCGCTGGTCAGATCATTTTACTAGAAGTTCCGGCTGTAACTGGTTGAGTGTTGTGGTCCCCTGGGGTGTTTAATTTTCGGTAAGTTGTAGTTGATTTTGATTTCATTTTTCCAGTTTGATTTATGTTTTGTTTGTTGTTTGTTTCATTTTTCAACAAAATAACCAGATCTAGTAACAATTATTTCATTCTTGGCGGTTTTTCTTGGTGGTTTATTTCTGCGTCACAACATCATTATCAATTTGTGATTCTCTGTTAAGTAGTTCAGTTCCTGCCTGAAAGTGTTTCTTCCAACGATAATTAATGGAAGAACTTTCTTTAAGCAGTGTTGTGCCATATTTGGATCTTAAGGGACTGAGTCCCTGAGTGGTTGGTCCGCATACCATCTTAGTAGCCTTGAAAGAAGTATAATACAGCTATGTCTTATAGGTATATCTTGGACTTATCACTTTCAAATTTAACATATTTCCAATTTGTTTGAAACAAACAGTAGATTTCTTATTATTTTTTTTAAATAAAAATATTAAAAAATGATTAATTATTTTACATTAGGTACTGTTAAATATGCACCTAGATGGTGTAGCATAAAAAATGTGCATTGTGCGAAAGAAAACAACTTACTTACCTACCGAACGAAACTAAAACCGAAAATCCAAACGCCAAAAAGTATCAAATAACTATAAGCCCAAACAATAATATTTATTTATGATATAAGTGCTAAAAGTGACATTTTATTTTGTGAAAAGGGAAGTTAGGGACACGACGCCGAAGGCGGAGTTTTTCATCCTTTTGAACAAAATAAAATCACTTTTAGCACAAATATCATACACTATTTTTTCTACAAACGCACTAAAAGTGATGCTCTCAGTGCACTCAGTGCTAAAAGTAATCACTTTTAACACCAGTGTAATAAAATGGCATTTTAAACACTAACAGCATCCGTTAAAAATGACACTTTTAGTGACGTTTGTAGAAAAAGATGATTATTATTCCTGATAAACAACTCGCAGAACTGAGCTGACTATTACCATTTCAATTTGTGGTGTTTCCTGCTTCTCTATAGGGGTGAATTTTTGTGGGTTGCAACTCAATGGTCCACCTGCAAGCTAATGGATACGTAAATCACCCTGTATAAAAACAGTCTATACTAGTTACAGTTACGTTTTCATCAAATAATAAATGTGATGGTTAATTAATTTTTTTAGCTCTGGAACGAAAGCGCGCTGCACAAAAGAGCGCTGCAACAAAAGAGCGCTGTAACAAAAGAGCGCTGTAACAAAACAGCGCTGTAACAAAATAGCGCTGCACAAAAGAGCGCTGTAACAAAAGGGCGCTGTAACAAAAGAGCGCTGCACAAAAGAGCGCTGTAACAAAAGAGCGCTGTAACAATAGAGCGCTGTAACAAAAGAGCGCTGTAACAAAAGAGCACTGTAACAAAGCAGCGCTGTAACAAAAGAGCGCTGCACAAAAGAGCGCTGTAACAAAAGGCCGTTGTAACAAAACAGCGCTGTAATCCAAGAGCGCTAACTGAATTTTATAAAGGACGGGTCAGTTTGGGTTAGATTGGGTTATTTCGTATTCATTCTCTGTTTGAGCAATTTGACGAAATTCAGAAACATAGTTTGGGTCGCATTCCCAGGATGGATCAGTTTGCGTTGGATTGGATTATTTAGTATTAATTTTCTGATTGAGCAATTTGACGAAATTCAGAAACAGAGATTGGATCGCATTCCAAGGACGGGTTAGTTTGGGTTAGATTGGGTTATTTTGTATTTACTTGCTGTTTGAGCAATTTGATGAGATTCAGAAACAGAGATGGGGTCGCATTCCGAGGACGGGTTAGTTTGGGTTAGATTGGGTTATTTTGTATTCATTCTTTGTTTGAGCAATTTGATGAGATTCAGAAACAGAAAGTGGGCCGCATTCCGAGGACGGGTCAGTTTGGGTTAGATTGGATTATTTTGTATTCATTTTCAGTTTGAGCAATTTGATGAAAATCAGAAACAGAGATTGGGTCGCATTCCGAGGACGGGTCAGTTTGGGTTAATTTGGGTTACTCTTTTGTTACAGCGCTCTTCTGTTACAGCGCTCTTTTGTTACAGCGCTCTTTTGTTACAGCGCTCTTTTGTGCAGCGCTCTTTTGTTACAGTGCTCTTTTGTGCAGCGCTCTTTTGTTACAGCGCTCTTTTGTGCAGCGCTCTTTTGTTACAGCGCTCTTTTGTTACAGCGCTCTTTTGTGCAGCGCTCTTTTGTGCAGCGCTCTTTTGTGCATCGCTCTTTTGTGCAGCGCTCTTTTTTGCAGCGCTCTTTTGTTACAGCGATCTTTTGTTACAGCGCTCTTTTGTTACAGCGCTCTTTTGTTACAGCGCTCTTTTGTTACAGCGCTGTTTTGTAACAGCGCTCTTTTGTGCAGCGCTCTTTCATTACAGAGCCAATTTTTTTTTTCTTACATCATATTAAGGATCAGTTTCTCTTCTTAGGTTTCTGGTTCAATTGATTTCCACAGAGACGATTTCAATTCTCTAATCAGAAAAGACATACTATCAGGCGACGCTGCCAAATTAACAGTGCCAAAAGAATATTTGGAATATATGTCATTTATGGATGTGGATTTGGCACAAGGAAAAATGATTTCGGATATTTACTGGCACCGAATGTGGTCCGGAATTGTTGCCATATCTTATTGCGACGTTAGTCCGAATATTTTCTTTAGTGGAAACTACGAAGCAGATATGGTATGTTGTATTATTTTTGGTGTTTCGATCTTGTGAGTCGTATGTCATAGCCACACGGAGTGTGTAAATGTACGAGGATGAGATATGACATCTCAAAAAGAGTATGTGTTATAAGTATAGTTACACTCGCTTCTTGGAACGCATTTTATATATGAATGAATGACACTGCATAAATAAAGTTGTGATATTAGGTAGAGCGAGCAACGTTCACGCCAAATTTGGTGCTGATTTGGAGCTTTTTAGACGCCCTTAAGCCCAAACTTATTTTAGAAGCCCCCAGGGAAATTTACAAATTGTCGTTTTGTAAATTCGACGAGAATATTTTGATTGGCGGTTGCAAAAACGGACAAATTGTAAGAGAAGTAGTTTATACTAGAGAGCTTAGAGTCTTCTAACATTGTTTCTCTCGTTAATAGATTATTTGGGATTTACGCAATCGATTGCAGAAAGTCGAACAGGAAGAAATTCTAACTGCGGCACAGCAAAAATACAGAACCTACATGTTTGAAATGATGGGGTGGATGAAGAACACTTATGATATGGCCGTAGTACGACCTACTGCAGTGTCCGATTTAAGATTTTCACATAGAGACGAAGTTTCAGGTAAAGTATCAAATTGTAATGTGGAAAAAAAATGTTAACTGAAGGTATCCACTTATTCAAGGTATATCTTGGGTAGACCCTAACTACGAGTTCACACGTACAGGTCAAATAGCCGAAATAGCAACGGACGAAAATGAAAGGCCGAAATATTCCATGCAACTAGTGACCAGCAGCATAGATGGGAGCATTTTGATTTGGGATTTGAAAATGAAACAGATATATACTGCTGGAGGTTACAAAGTGAGAAAACTGAAGAGGCTAAAGGAGAGGCCCGATGAATTACAGGTAGGATTTAAATTTTTAGGTTTATTGATGTATTGAAATAATATTGTCATATATAATATCACAAGAGAAAAAATTTTGATCCTTAAATTATCATTTATTTCCAGTCTGAAGTTTCACCATACAGAGTTCTCCATTTGAATCTAAAACCAAAATATCGTATAAACATGTTTGAGACTCACCTCAAAACCTCCGTACCGATATGCATCACAAGAAGTAATACCGGATATTGCTTGCAAACCTATGCAGAAACCAACTCGAGCTTGGCAGAGGAAAAGAAAAAAGATTTCGACGAACGGTATTTCTACAAGCCGATTTTACAGAAATCAGAACCTCTCCAGCCGATTATTAGAATAGGAACTGTTGAAGGTAAACGCTGGTATTAGTTATAGTATTTTTCATAAAAAAAAAATTTTTTTGAAAGGTGATTATGCCGAAATAACCTGGGACGGTCAAGATTTCGATTCAGGTGAAACCGTAAACTGCGAGCATGGTAAATTTATTTCCGCAGCAAAGTATCACGACGGGCCCATAACGACTATAAGCACTTCACATCAAAGCGGCGTGACTTTGACCGTTGGCGGGAAAATCTGGGCTTTGTGGAGGAATGATTTTCCTCATAGACCGATACTGTGGCGGAAAAATCGATATTTCTACACTAAGGGCGAACTCAATATGTTTCATGTACGTTCAATTTTCTATTGGAGTAGTTTAGGATTTATAGACAGAAACGTCAATTCGTGCATAGCAAAAATGCGTTGAGTAACAGGAATTGGTGTTGAACATTCTAATACAAACTACTGACTACTACGCTACAGGAAATGCATTCCGAGCTTGTGGTCCTGACGTTTCGCATACAACTGCGTTAGGCACATCATCGAAGGCGCCGAGACAAGGAACAAAGCTATAGACGTTTCTAAGCATTTTAATACCTATTTAAAAGTACCAGTCGTTCTGGTGACAAAACGTATGTCGCTTCTTGACACACAAATAAAATTAGGTTAGGAATTTCCGAGGGAATTTCCTATTTGTACATGAAATTGACGAATTAGCAATCGACTTTCGTTTTTGTTGGTAATTTTTTGTTTCATCTAATTTGTGATTGATAAATATGGATGGGGTTATTCCAAATGGGTACTAAAAACATTTTAATACCTTTTTTTCAAAGATTTTCTGGTAGTGTGGGATGATTGGATGATGCTCAATGCTCAGTGATTTGTCCATCTGGTACGTGGCGTGGCCTTCTTTGAGCTGGAGTCCATATGATGCTGAGTTTGATGCCCTCTACTTGGGTTAGTTAATGATGAATGGAAACTGAAATTATAGAAAGTAATGCTGCTCACCATACATCTCAAAAATTTCACAGACTGCATCGGAAAGATCTCGAGGAAACATAATGTAAAGACCGTCGATTTTAATCTGATACTCCAAAGGAATGTGAGCTGGTGGCTGCCTACGTTAGAGCACCAATGGTCACCTGCCTTCACACCTGTTTTTTCCATATGCTTCACCCCTCGCTCCTCATACGGAAAGTGTCAGATAAAAAATGACGGACAATAGGTCTGTTGTTTCCAAGTAATGCAAAAGACGACATGGAAAAAATATATCAAGTCCTATGCAGCTGTTGCATTTCCACATGTATACTATACACTCTCAGAAGGGCATCACGATACATTGATTCACATCAATTTGCAATAGTACAATCAATGAGACACATCAAATACGTAGTACCTCGTCTCTTGTCTCATCGCCTCGCCTATGAGAATGCCAATCGCGCAAGTTGAAGATGGAACGTCAGAATGTGATACCTACACTCAACCAAATAGTAGCATAAATAAAAAGAAGTTGTTCTTTGATTTAATGAACAATTCATTAAAATCGGTCCAAAGAACGGCTTCTTTGATTACATGAACTCTACGTTATTGAAGGATGAACAATTTCTTAATTCCTATTTCGATTCATCTTGTGTATGATCAACGAACATTAAGGTATGTAGCAAGGTTTTTGTATTTATGAAACTTTTCATAGTAACAATAAACATCGTTCTTAGTTTATATGTACTTTTTCATTGTCCTGATGAACAGACGGCATAATATTAATGAAGCCCAGATATAATTTGATGAAACCCTTTCATTGTATTTATGAATCACAGTCTTGAATACTAAGAATTTCATTCATTGTATTTATTAATGACGTTTTCAATAATATGTACCATATTCTTTATTTTTATTAAAATAATTTCATGAATTATGCCTTAAATATACTTGTGATTTTAAATGGGGTAAAGGGTCATTTTTTATATTTGCGTGTCCCCTGTACTGATGAATATGAGCAATAGGAAAAAAGTTTTTAATGCAAAAGTTGCATGGTTTCTTCGTATCATCTTCCAGAATTGTTAAACAAACCAATGGGCATCCCAAAATCTGAAAATTTAAAAATCTAAGTACCTACTTATGTATTTTTATTTTATATGACACTAACCGTATATTCTATTATCTTTCAAATCCTCCTTAAATCCTGTTTCCATAAATATATAATATATCTATATTTGTTCCAGCTGTTTGCGAACTATCAACATCCAAAGTTTCTAAAACAAGCCACATCAGAAAATTTGATTTGATGCCTTGGCTGGTTTCCTTGCCTCGGCTATGAAACACTAGCTGCGGTATTGAATCTTCTGCTTTTCTACCTAGTGAAACAAAACCATTTAACAAAAATATATAGATTAAAATAATTACAACTTGATTTGGGATTGGGTATACTTACTTTTAGAGACTTCAGTATTCCTTAGAAATTCTGAGGAGCTCTTGACGCTTTTGCCTTTCACGTTCTCCCCGGATGACATTTAAATCTGTAGGTCATTTCTTTCGCATTCCCATTTTGAGACTAGACCGTCTCCGTGCAAGGCATCAAAGTCCTACCTACATAATAGGTATACATATTATAGAAGTAATAGAGGTATACAACTTACCTTTAGAAAAAACTGGCGACAGGTATAATCTACTTTCTATTTAACACTTCGAACAACACAAAACCGAAAAAACCGACTTGAACGAAGTACGTAGCAATGCACCCAGAAAATAGAAATGTAATTATTCCTATTTCAACATATTTTTCTATGTCGTTGCCCGACTGCAGCTACCTTTGCGCATGTGCTTAGGAACTGTCTACTTTAATGCTATGAACTGTTTCATTGTATTTATGATTTATCTTGATGTAATGGTTGCAGCTTTGTTTCTAGGAATACTTGCTTGTTCTAAATGAACCGTACATTGTATCAATGAATTTCGTTCTTAAAAGGATAAGTTTCTAGTAAGGTTATATGAACCATATTCATATTATTCATGTTAATATTCATTTATATTATGAATATTCCGTGGAAGTTCCCATCAAAGAAATTTTCTTTAATATCAAGGTTTAATTTCATAATATCAATGAACTTAGTTCTTGTAACCGATGCACTATTCAACATAGATTCATGTGGATGACTATTCATAACTTAATGAAGCTTCATTCTTTATTTTAATGATAGCTGTTCATGAAATCATAATACTTACAGTTTTCTGTACCTGGGATTAATGAAAATTTCACTGAATCAATGAAAATGTAATTTATGAAAGCAGTTCATTGATATTATGATCAAGATTTTTTTGAGTGTACCTCATGGTCTCACAAGCCCAAAAAACATTATCTACAAAGTAATAGGAATTCAAATGTGCGGTTTGATTTTAGAATTTCAGAATAATCACTCAAGCCGTTAACGGTGTAATATCCAGATGGATTCTTCCTTTAAGTAGCAAAAAACCGGTATTCAGTCAAGTCATATCCAATAGCTATTTAACTGCTTCCAACATGTATCCATATCGTAGAGAAAGAATTATTTACGGAGTTGGCGATGAACAAGGCAATTTACCATTTATAATCGTTTAATCCAACCGATAAAATCGATTTCCCTTTCAGGTTCTTTTAGGCTATTCCACATCAAAAAAACATCCTTCAATTATCCGAAAACCATAGAGGAAGATATGAAAACATTTATTGAGAAAGAAATTTACAGGAAAAAGGCGTTTTTAAAATGGCAGGAAGAGTTCAATCTACGCAACGAAGAGTACCAAGCAAAATTGAAAGTAAAAGCCGAGAAAAGGGCTAAGGAGGAAGCAGCTGCTAGAGAAGCGGCAAAAGAAGAACGCAAAACTGTCGAAAAAGAAGTAAGGAAAGGACCTGAACCTGGTAAATATGTAGAATGGATAATTGAACAGCGTCAAGCTAAAGAAGAAGCCAGAATAAAAGCGATGATAATAAACAAAAAACAATTGGACACCAAGGACCTTGAGAAAAGACGGAAACCTTTGGAGAAATTAGACGAGGAAAATGCAAGAAAAAAGAAAAAACAACGAGACAGGTAGGTATTAAGATCCATTTTCAGCTTCTTATCCTTTTCATTTGTATAAAATTCTAGACTGAAACAAGGCAAAATGATTTTCGAAGATCAAGTTGAAGCCCTATTTCCAGCAATATTAAGAAAGAAAACGCCACCTCCTCAAGATCCTTACGCTGGAGGAGACTCCGATCAAGCCAAACGACACATTTACGAGCAATACAATGAAATTGTCGATAAAATGGAACGATACGTTGCAGCGCATCCTTTCCGCTATCAATTTGATTTCAAAACCATACTTATTGGTGAGAATCAATAATAGATATATTAGGTTTATTCGGACTTAGTTCAGAATCAGTTCTGAATTGAACTGCGTTTGCGCATTTGTTCATTTATGTTCGATATGGACAAATGCGCATGCGCAGTTCAATTCAGAACTGATTCTGAACTAAGTCCAACGTACATAAAGCCAACAACAAACAACAGCAATTTATTTTTTAGATGGTAGAAATAAAGAAGACAAATATATGCAAATGCACGAGCACAAAAAACGTTATGATGATGAAAAACAAATGAGAAAACGTGAAGAAAGTATTCAGTCAATTACTGATTATGAGGAAGTGCTGCCTGTAGAGGAAGAAACTGAAGCAGAAGAGAATTTTGTTTGAAATAATACTTGAATTAAAACTCTAGCCTCTAGGTTATTGGTTTTCAATAAATATCGTCCATGTATTATTAGGCCTGTTCGCACAGAAATCACCAACCAGTCAGAGCGAATTTCATTGGTTGAAACTAGTTTTCTGACTGTTTCTGACTGTTTCCAACCAATGAAATTCGCTCTGACTGGTTTGTGATTGCTGTGCGAACAGGCCTATTATTGTTAAATATCCCCAAGATCACCTATACCAAAATATAAAAATTAATTTCATCAGTAGAGGTAGGTGTAGGTAACTATATTAGATTATATAGGGTTTTCCATAGAGAAATATAATAAACCAAGGTAAGAGTACCTGATTGCTAACATGAAAGTTTGTATAGCTCTGACGTCACAGCGACGGTGGCGTCAATAGTGGCAGCCGGAACAAATACTGAAATGGCGGGAATTTTGAAATTTGACTCGAGTTGATTGCACAAAAAACTTACTTATGTTGTTCCACATCTTTTTTCTCAAATCTGAATGAGAAACATGATGTGGTACAAAGTTTTGTGCCATTTTTTGATGTAGATTAAAAAAAAAGGCAGAATAAACACTAAATTGTACTAGAAAAAATATATATTAAAGCTAGATAGGTCAAATACCTAAAGAGTTTACAAACACAGTTATTACATCCCTTATACATGCTTTAATGTATGTACAAGCTAAGCTGGCCAAGGCCTAACATCTACATTTTATCTCTTCTGACTGAGGTCTCCTAAAACAGTAAAAAAATATGCCGTATATCACAAAACTAACATGTATACTTACTGGTTCAGTTTATCCTAGTTGTACATAATATTATAGGTACGCGATACCGAGCGCCTTAATAAAAATGACAATTTCTTCTTTTTGTTCTTTAGATTTTGTGAGTTCGAGTCTTCTTAGACGACCGCCCAATCAGTTAAAAATGACAAATTTCAACACGGAAATGTCGTTATTTTAAGGTTACTTATTTGTTTTCTCGGTCACAGTTTCTATAGTTATGGATGTTTGATAGGTTTCCACAAAACAGCTAGGAAAGCTCTGTAACTCATACGGTGTCCTTGTCTTGTGAATTGGTATGACAGAGAAAGATGAAACAGAATCGAATGATCGGACTGATCTTTCGTGAGTCTCTAGCTTTCCAAAAATTCCGCAATGCGCTATGCGCAACCGGATGCGCAGTAATAGTATAACCTATTTCGGCTATACTTTTGAAGGTCTTTTTATTTTTTATTGTCTATGGGGTTTTCTAAGTTCACCTTGATAAAATAATGGATGATGCACACTTTAAATGGAATTTTAAAAAATTCACGATTTTGATGAAATTTTGGTATGTTGTAGATCTCGATCTTCTGATCAAAAGTTCTCATGGGCCCAAGATGATCCTATGCCTGGTTTCCGAAATACAGTGACGGGTATGGGGCTACCCAAAAATCCGAGTAATTAGAAATTCTTTCACCCATTTATAATCTAAAAATCCCCGTGGTGCATACAATGCTTTATTTTCTACTCAACACAATGTTCTTTCATCAATTAGTATCAAGCAAAATCAGTTAAACTTGTGTGATAGAATATTGTTTTGTATTTTGACAAATATTTGAGAGCAAGAGCTATAGTATTTTTAATACCTATTTAGAAGTACCTGTCGTTCTAGTGACAAAAACGTAAGTCGCTTCTCGACACACAAATAAAATTAGGTTAGGAATTTCCTATTAGACTATCCAAAACACGTGACACAAATATGGCCGACAAGAGGCACACAAACATTTGACACAAACACAAACCATAACGTCATTAGGTTATGTCATTAATGATCATAATCAAATACTCATTTTCTATTGTGTGCGTCTCAATTTTTGGCCGTTTCTACCCAATTACGCAATCTCTATTGTTTGGGCAAGATTGCTCTACCGACATTTCACTTGGACAGCCAGGACCTACCCTTAAAATGTGAATATATTTATTTGTTGTAACTCCACCGTCCAGTGTTGTGCTTTGATTTGTATTGTTTTTTTACAATCACAAGTTTGCTCTAGATTTGATTGAAGAACAATTTTGCTGAAGGTAAATGCTCTGCATTCATTTCATTGTGAAAATATTGAAATTTTTAATCATGCATTTCCGTTAGTCAAGTTAAAATCGAAAAAGAAAAAGCCTTGTATCACGAAAGGTTCAAGAATTGCTTCTAGAAAATTTAGGTATCTTCATTCCTTAAGAAAGTTTGCTCTTGATATTGATAATATATTTTTTTTACTACTAACCTGAGAAATTGTCATTATTCAATCTATTTTTCTAGGAAAAAATTGAATTTCTCTCCCTAGGTGAATAATGAAAATAATGAAAAAATACCTAGGTTAATAATGAAAATGACGTCATGACGCAAGGATATTGTCATGTTTCTATTGGTTCAATTTCATTTCCATACGTCAATTTGAAAAAAAATACAGGTTTCTGTAGGTACATAGGAAGTTATCATAAGCTGTTGATAGAGGGCAGCACTTTCAAGAGGGCGTTCAAAAAAAATAATTGGAGCACAGATTTTAAACAAATTTTTCATTTTCTACTAGCAGTAGTAAAAAAAATTCTATATATTCCTCGGTAGAGAAAGTCATTATATACCTCACTCATTATAAACCTCGGCGCGAGCGCCTCGGTTTATAAAAGCGCTCGGTATATAAGGACCAACTTCTCTACCTAGGTATATAATATACTATTTTATGACCTACTTTAAATAATGGATACAGGAGCATCTACAGAAAGACGATGAAACAGGCAAGGAAGATTTATTACAATGAGAGGTTGGGCATCCGCATCCAATAAACAAAAAGAGTAACGACTCACGCGAAAAAAAAAAGAAATATACATATGTGCTTCCAATTTGAAAGCAGATAATATTAATTCATACTACTGTACGATTGCTCAGAAACTGAGTATCAAAATGGTGAGCTTCCTTGATAGACATAAATTGCTTTCTCTGTCTCTGTTTCAGCAGTCAAAAAACACTGATGATACCATATTTCATCTCCTGGATGAGCTGTATTAGAAGATAAATGACGAAGAAGTGGCCGCGGTAGTTTTTTGTGACCTGAAAAAAGCTTTCGATTGTGTCTGTCATGAAGTACTGCTTCTAGGGGTTCAGTACTTCAGAGGGGTTGGATATCACTGCAGGAGTGCCCTAGGGATCTGTTCTATTTCTAATATTAATAAAAATACGAGTAAAAACAACGAGTATCAAAACACAAATGAACAATGAGCACTATTTTTTTTTAAAAAATTTCATGACACATTGAATGACACATAAAAAAAGAGTCTGTGTGCCTCTTGGCGGCCATTTTAATTTAAGTCTGACAGCATCTTGGATAGTTCAATTTGTAGATGAAATTGACGTATTAGCAATCGACGTTCGTTTTTGTTGGTAATTTTTTGTTTCATCTGATTCGTGATTGATAAATAAGGATGAGGTTATTCTAAATGGGTATTACAAATACTATATAAAAAAAAATAAAAATACTATAATATGATGCTGTCCCAGTTACTTTTGGTACCTGTACCTAGAAACGAAATAGATTAATATACAGGGTGTCACGAAAGGTTTGTTACAAACTTCCAGGGATGGTAGATCTCGTAAAAATAAAACTTTTTTCTTAATAAACATGTGTCCGGAAATGCTTCGTTTCCCAGATATACAGGGTGGCCCAAATTTGAGCCTCATCATTGGGATCTCGGTAACCGTAAGAGATACGGGGTCGGTTAAATTATGGCAAAGTTGCGCAATTTTATGACCAATAGAATATTGTTTTGAAACTAGAAAGATTCCGAATACTTCCGGAGATATTCGGGAAAAACCAAAATTTTGTAAAATAGTTTTTATTTTTTCCCGGGCTTATTTGAAAAGCAATTTTAAAATAAATGTCACTTGATCGTTGTCACTTTTTCTCCTTTAGAAGATGGTGCTATTAAATTTAAAATTCGACGTTTCGTCTTCAGGCGGCCATCCTCAACTTCCTTTTTTTAAATACGGACCTGGATTTTTTATTTGCGATTTTGTCCTCTTTGCGCATCCTAAAACCGATACTGTTTATAATTTTTCAATAACACAGCAAAAAAAGCAGGTCCGTATTTAAAAAAAAAAATTAATGATGATTTCAGAGGAACGAAATATTGGATTTTAAATTTAATACCGCCATCTTGTAGAGAAGAAAAAGTGACAATGGCAAGGTGAAATAAGTTTCCACAATCTTTTTAAATAAAATCAGGAAAAAATTAAAACTATACGAAAAAAACATGAATTTCTCGTTTTTCTTAAATTTTTTCCTGATTTCATTTAAAAAGATTTTGAAAAATTAATTTCACATTCCCATTGTCACTTTCTCTTCTTTACAAGATAGCAGTATAAAATTTGAAATCCGACGTTTTTCAAATACGGACCTGCTTTTTTACCGTGTTATTGAAATAGTATTTTACATTATTAACCAGGTAAAACAGTTTTTACTGGTGATTGAAGGAAATGACTAGCGAGCCGTCAGGCGAGCTTGTCACCTTCAAGAGCCAGTAAAAACTGATACCTGGCGTATGATGTACAATAATTTATTTGTTACTCATTTGTAAACAATCTTAAACAATTAATAAAAAATTAATACATATACGTAATACAATTTTAATAAATAATTCTCTGACCCTACTGACTTGTAAAAAGTTTTTACAGTTTAGCTGTCAATTTTACAAGTCAGTAGAGCCAGTAACTGGTAAAAATCAATTTTCATTGTTTATGTTTTGACTTGTTAAATGACGTTTTACAAATGAGTGACAAATAAAATTATAAACAGTATCAGTTTTAGGATGCCCAAAGATGACAAAATCGCAAATAAAAAATCTAGGTTCGTATTTAAAAAACGTAAGTTAAGGATGGCCGCCTGAAGACGAAACGTCGAATTTTAAATTTGGTACCACCATCTTCTAAAGGGGAAGAAGTAACAATGATGAAGTGACATTTATTTTAAAATTGCTTTTCAAATAAGCCCGGGGAAAAAAAAACGATTTTTCAAAATTTTGTTTTTTTCCGAATATCTCCG